TTGATTGCCCTCCTTAGCTCTCACTGGACTGGACAGGATTACCATTTAGTCTAATCCCGTGTTTGTTTACGGAAAGGCCTAACTTTAATGGGACTCGCCCCAACTAAATTGGACTAAACACTTCGCTAAAGGGGCTTAGCGAGACCCCTCGAAATCGGGCGGACTGCTAAGACCTTAGCTTCCCCCTCTCGTTTCGCACATCCATCTACTTCATCCTCGCTTCCCAAAACCATCCTAAAGACTAGATCCGGCAAAACCGAAACAAAATAGAAGAAAAATCTGCAAACTTCTATTTTCAAAACCACATCCAACACCCAAAATCTTAGAAAACCTAAAAAAAAATTTCGAAAGTGAGATGAGCTTGAAATTTTCAATCACACAACACCGAGAAAACCAGAACCCAAAAAATCTGCAGTGAGGTAAGCTTGAAATTTTCAATCACAACACCCAGAAAACGTAAACCAGATCCAACCCCCATCTTCTACCTTCGGGGCAATCACACATGCAACCCGCTCCAACTCCTAAATTTTCAATCTCTTTCTTGCCTTGTGGTTTGATTGTGAAGATTTGCAGTCAATTATGAAGTTGGGAGATGAACAACTTCTGGGTTTAATTTTGATGCTAATTTCTTTCATCAAAAGAGGGAGATGAACAGAGAACAAAATGAAGAAAATAGGGAGATGAACAGAGAACAAAAGAAGAAGATGGAGATGAAGAGGGAGAGGGACGAAGAAAAAATTAGGAAGAAAACAGAGGGAGTGGGGCGGAGAAAATTAAGGAAGAAAGAGGGGATGAACGGAAAGGTTTCTAGAATGAGAAAATAGACAAAAGTAATAATAAAATATTACTAAATATTTATTAAATGATGTAAAATATTAATAAATATGAATTAAATAATATAATATTGGAATTTATTATTAGTATGTTCCTTAATCCTGACACTGCACCAAACGCTTCACTAAGCTAGTCCAGCTTAGTCTAGTCTAAGCCAGTTCAGCTTAGTCCCTGTAACTAGTCCAATCCAAGACAGTCCAGTGCAACAAATGCCCCCGAAGTGCTTATTGGAAGAAGCATCAATTTTGTGCTTCTTTTAGGTAACACCTGTTATGTGCTTCTTCTAGGAAGCACTTCAAGTGTTTTTTCTAGAATGCACTTGTATTTTTATTAAGAATTGGTTCCAAAACATTTTCACTGAAAGTGGTTTCCGTTATTTTTAAAGCACTTTCAAACAAGGCTTAGAGTTTTAGGCTGATTTATGTTTTGCAAACCAATGTGCACCAAAACGACTGTGTGTTGTGCAACAAAGGCACACTTAATAAGTATTTAAATAGTATTATTTGGTCAAACTGGTTAACATTTATTTTCTTAAGATAAAAATTAATTTTTCTAGTTCAGTAAATTCAAGTACCAATTAAAACATGGAAACTTTTTTAGTAATGCCTTACGTATCTTCTTACGATTTGCCCTATTCTGTCAATTTGGTGGTTACTTTCCACATAATCAAGTTGAGAGAACTTATGTAAAATGGAAAACTAACTCATAGTTGGTTGAAATTGGTACGTTTTAAAACTTTAGGGGTAAGAACTAAATTGAAAGTTTATCGGGCAAATAAAAAGAAAGTGTGATGGCATTTTGTCCATTAACGGTGTGTTTGTTTGGCAACACTAGCCTTCACTAGACTAAGTTTAGTGGGATTAGCAAGGACTCACCTCGACTGAGTCCCTCGCTAACAGGTCTTAGCGAGACCCCCTGATTCGGAGAGGACTGCTAAGTCGCCCTCTAATCCCGTCATCTCCCTGCTCCTACAATTCGATCCTTGCCCTGCTCCCTCCTTGCCCAGCTCCCTCATCGTCATCCTCCTCATCCTCATCTCTGCATCTTGCTCGCCCTCAGCTGCATCCTGCTCGCCTTCATCTGCTCCTCTTGTCTAGTAAACTTCGAATCCGACATTATTTCTTCGATTTGTTTTGCAGATCGTGATATTACTAGGCTTTATTTGATTTAGGTGTTTTGTTTGATAAATTTTCAATAATAGACCTCTGCACTTGAACAAATTAGGGTTTTGATTTCTAGGGTCAAATTAAGATTAGAATTTGGGGTTTTCACATTTTATGCTATTTTCAGTCCTAAAATGATGATAATCATCACGAAATTGTTGTTGTAAGGGTGGATACAAAGTTAAATTTGTAATTTAGGTCTATTTTCAACAGATTTTGGTATCAGGTTGGACTAGAGTTTTTGGATTTTGGTATTGGGTTTGAGAAATGAGTTGAGTTACATTTAGTAACTACACTCACAAAGACACTCACACATTGTCCTGTATAAATTTCATCTTAAACCTTACGGATGGGATCTCAATTATTGCAACAGGTTCACAAGGTTCAAGCAACTGACATGGAGGCCCTTAAATCTCCACTCATGGGTTTGTTTGAAAAGCGCCATGCACGCAAGTTCATCCTATATGTTCAAGATTATAGTGAAACTAATCCTAAAACACATGAGGGAATGGACTTAACAAGAGTGACAACTAGAGATTTCATCTTATGCCCTACAAGTATGCATATGGTTGTTTTTATTTATAGGTCTGTAAGGGACACAATATCTTCTCTGTTCTTCTGTATCTTGCTTGAAGGGTGAAGAAAAATGCTTATTCCCCAACACTTACTGAAAATTTATTGCATTTTGACAGGTTAGGAAGGTTGGTAAGGTTGCAAGAGCTATTGCCCAATTCCAAACACCAATGAATCTCACTCAATACAGGTTATCCTGGCACAGAAGTAGTTGGGTCGCATATGAGATATGTGAGTTCTCTTATCTTTTGTTGGGATCAATATTTATTTGCAATGAATGCCGTGTGCATGTTTGAGAATGTCCTTTGTAATTGTTGCTTTGGAAAAAACAATCCCATGACTAGGTTGTTTTATGGCAAGGAAATGGGTTTTCTTTAATAGGAAGAAAGGAATGGTATAGTTTACATGCATACAATGTCTAAACCACAATTTTTAAATTTCTGTTATGTAATTGGATATGCAGTTGCAATGTTATATCGGGTGGAGGGTATAGTCAGTTATATTATTCTATAACTGTTGGAAGGGTTTCGTGGTAACACTTGCTTGATGCATATTAGTATTATCCTACTATCATTTCAACTCCAAACTACTGAGTAGGCCTCTAGGGAACTCGTGTATGCTTTGAACCAATAGCTTGTTTGTGGATATTTATTCATCCCGAGTTATCCCTGTTTATTTTTTGTTGTATTTTCTTATTACTAGTGGCCAATTCTTTGGTGCTCCTACTCTCACAATGTTGCTCCAAGGGGAAACTTTATTGCATTTGTATCAACAGACGCAGAGACTGATCATCCCGAGACTGAGCTAAAGCCAGGGATTGACCTTTTAGCGCCTATTGACGAGATATTTTTTAAGACCTATGACAGATATGGGCCTGTTAATGAACCCAATTTGGACAATTGCTTTATATCAACTGTGAGTCTTATTCAAGCCTTGACCTGTACTGGGCACTCTTCAATATGATTTATGCACACTTGACAAAAGGCTTCTTATGTTTAACAGAGTTATGATGCCTCCACACACTTTGAGTGCACTGTCTTGGATGTACTCAACATGTACACCTTAATAACAGGGAAGCTAAGAAATACAATTTTATGCATTGCCCAATTAGTTTGGTTCTATTGTTTTCGATTTCATGTCATCCTTGAAGTTGATGGACATTTCCTTGATTAACTAACTTGCGTTTGTTTCTTGTTTACTGTTTCATAGAACCATGTCTTTCATATAAGGTTTAACCAAATTTCCTAGAATGTTTAAGCAGGTTCTTGACCTCAGTGTGGACCTAAGTGCTGCTAGTGTTGCAGAACAATGAATAGCAAAGCTGTATATGGTGATTGTGGTGATAATTGTGCTTTGTTCCAAGTACACTGAATTGCTTAAGTTACCTTACCTGTGGCGGTGGTAATCCTCATACCGTGGAGGTTTATATGAGTTATCACTCACTTTTAATCATAGACTTGATATGTTATATATTGTCATTTAAATGTACTTCAAGTTTCAAACGTCGTTTCAAATGAAAACTATGTGTCTAGATTCCGGACATGCCCTTGTGTTGGTTCAATGTATTTTTAGGTTGCGGAGTATGTGTGGAAGCATGTAAACAAAATAATAACTTGTCAAAGAACCATTTCTTTCAAGTTAATGGTGTGTGGGGTGGATTCGGTTCTAATCTACTAACTTTAAACCAAAGGTGAATAATTAAGAACAACGTTTTGAACCCTGTCGATTGTTGGGAGAACACTTTGTTATATTCATGTTTGGAATAATGCTACTCTTGAATCATGTATGTTTCTTTCGTTGGCAAGAAAATTTGGTTTTTGTATTTTTATTGAGTCTCACTCTCATACAATATTATTAATTTTAATAATATCTTTAATAAAAAAGCAATTAAAATAAAACAATAATGTAATCCTAGTCTGAGTAAACATCAAACTGGTGACACTATTGTTTTCATTATCCTACTTCTTAGTCCGACACTGTACCAAACACTTCACTAAGTTAGTCCAATTTAGTCTAGTCTAAGCCAGCCAGTCCAACTTAGTCCTTGCAGCTAGTCCAGTCTGAGACAGTCTGGTGCAACAAACGCACCGTAAAGTCATTTTTTGTCTCATTAAACACACTTTCAAAAAGCTTAGTTGTGTGTTTTTTTTTTTTTATTTTTTTTATACAATGATATTTGCACTAAAAAATAAAAGAAAAAATTAGTATCAAAATTTTCATTTATGAAATTCAAACTTACAACTTTTTACTTACAACTAAAAACAAATACTTTTAGGGCGAAAGAAAAGTTGAAGGGCTAAAGTGGAAATAGATTTAAAATCTTGAGGGAAAAAATAAAAAGTTGAACCAAAATCGAATGGCTGGACGGCACCGCTGCGCCCCTTTGGTCCTTTACAAATTTAAATTTGTATTTAAAGGCATTTTCGCCTTGAACCCTAAACCCCTGCAAACCTAGTTCTAAAACCTCCGAGGCTGATAAACCCTAGCTTTTGGGAAAACCCTAATTTATCCGTTTCCTGTGAAATTGGTTTTGAGTTTTGCGTTTTCGAAACCCCGAGAATCTCTTTCTTCAAATCCAATTCTTATGAAAACAAAAACCGGCTTTTAAAACCTTTAATTCTTCGCTGTTTTGAAAAGTTTTTTGCAGTTCGTTTCTGAACGATATTATATATAAAATTTTGGTTCCTTGAGTCGGCGTTTGTATTGTGGTTTTTCGTTTCTGAAATTACTTAAAGTACATATTTTTCAAACCTAAATATATATATTGTTAGTATAGTTTAATACTCTTAATACTTGAACTTTCAAATGGCCATTGATGGTAGTTTCAGCTTGGAATCAGCACTGGGGAGGTTTCTTGCTCGGTGCCCGGAGCTCCAATCTTCTCCAAACTTTGATTTTCTGTCCAAAAAGGTACGGAAATTTGCTGTCATTTGTCAAGCTTTATAGGTTGCTGATCAATTAAAAGAAAGACAAATTCGTGGTTAGGTGTTACAGAATTAGAGTACTAGAAGGATGAATGGTTTGAACAATATTGCTGGTAAAATTTACTCTGTTTTTCGGCGTTTGGGTTTGCGCAGGGAGATGGTGTGACTGAAGATGAAGTGGTCAAAGCGCTAGTTGGGGTGTTCTTACATCCAAAATTTACGATTCCTTTGATTGGATGTTTCCGTCCAATAGCTCAGAAGATCGTGGGCAAAGCTGTCGATTTGTTTCGGCTTGTGCCGAATTTGGGGTCTAATTTTGATGGGGGATCGGTTTCAAAATTTTGCAGAGCTACTAGTTTAAAAGAGGTTGATAATGTTATTGAGTTTTACAATGGAGCTGGGAGGGGTCTAGATCTCCATGAGCTTGCTTGTCTAGCCTTCTGTCGATCCCTTGAACTGGATCCTTTCTTGTGGGAGTACGTTCACTTCTCATGTCTATATATGTGATACATGTATGCATATGTCTTTAATGGATTCTTATATGTTCGTATTATGTACTTGTTCATGACATTCACCCACCTTTTAATGGTTGGAAACAGTTACTTGTACCATATCGATCTTTCTTTTCTTCACTTGCAGGTCTATAGTAGGTTATTTTCAATTTTCTCCACCTCCATTTCAACGTGTTCTGCTGGGACCAAAAGTTTCTGATCTCCGTGTTGAGGTTAGTAAGCTTTGTATGAATAATTTGTGTGAAATGGAATGCTCTCTCTCCCCCTTACTCTCTATCTTACTCTCTTTCCCCCTCCCCTTGGCCAATTTTGTTGTCTGACCTTTAATGGTTCTTGATTCCACAATACCCATGGTTCGGCCCCTGTTTGGAATTTCTTTAGGCTTATATGAAGCATAAAATAACTGAACATTTTCTCATTGGTGATAAACAAAGCACCAAACAATGTTAGCAGGTGAAATATAAACTTGATAGAATGTGGTGAACAAATTGTTCAAAATTACACTTTAACACACTTTCCACACTTTTCAAGGATACACAATTGGAGATTTCTTAGCTGTAACTGATATTATGTAGAGATCTGAAGTTTTGTTTCATGAGAGGGTTCTATTCTTGAACTTCTTGTAAGTGAAGTGGTGGTGCTATCAATTATGCGGAAACAAAATAGACTTTGATCTTGCAACCCCCTGCATTCATGAGCTGAGCGTTCCACATTTGTTGAGCTGCCCCTTCTTGATATTTGGCTTTAATGTCATACTTTTTCTTTTGCAGGATGGAACTAGGGTATTGCTAGCCGTAGGGGTGTCCTACCGCCTCCTCATAGTGAAGTATGACTTTTTCTCTAAACTTCAGAAATGGTCCTGTTTCCTGGACCTTGTGGAGCAGTGTGCAAAACTTGACCTGCAAGATAGTACTTCAGAAGTTGTGAAGGTTATCAAAGACATAAGATGGTGTGGGCTACAAATAATTTCCCTCATTCTTAAGTTAAGTTGTAAAGCAACGGAGAACTTGGGTATTACAGATGAGGACGCGTTTTCATGTTTCTTGCGGTTGGTCTTATTCACTTCTTCCAGAGAGTTATTTCTTAAATAACAAATTCAATGACTCATTGTTGGTGCAATGTTTATCTTGATATTATTATTTCAGATGGGAGGAATTCTGTCAGGACGTATCATTAGAAAGCGCTGGCTGGTATGTTGAATCATCCAAACCAAATGAATCTGTGGATGGAAGCAGTATTTGCTGTCACAAAAGCAGTCTGCAGTCTTTTGGCCTTAATTCTGGGTCTGCTACTTCATCTCAATGTTATGTGATTGACCCACAAGCAAAGCGCCAAAGGTGTGCTTCTTAGAGTATTATCTTTTCCTTTTGATTGTAACATGTTGTGTTATCATAATGCAAATTCACAAACTATTGTCCTTCGCTCACACTCTCCTCATCAGAAAAACTGTGTATCTCTTTTCTCTTATATTCTTATTCTACCTATTTGCATTTGCAACTGTTCTTTTATTTTCTCACATTGCCAATTAACTTTGTTGGTATATTTAGGGATGAGAGATCAACTGGCGATCCGTTTGTTGTGACATCAGCAATGAAGAGAACTGTTGAGATGGTGCTGTTAGCTGTGAAGCAAAGGCTGCCCGTTCTTCTGTATGGTCCCACTGGCAGTGGGAAATCTGCTCTCATCAGCAAGTTGTCCCAGGATAGTGGCAATCAAGGTATATATTGTTGTGTCCACTCTAGTTGAAAATCGGTTATTTAATTTGTGGTGATATATACCTGCAACAAACTGTTTCCATTGAAAATTTAGGGTGGGATTTAGGATGAAACTAGTGTTATCTAATACCTGCATTTGAAGCATATTTAAGTTAATATTGAATTAAAAAAATCAGTTTTTACACAAGATTTCATACTGTGACTATCCATACCTAATGTGCCTGCTGTATTGCAAGTGGTGGATTCCCTAGAGGTTAGGGTATTCCTCTTCAACCCACTTCGTCTTGGGTTCAAACCCTCCCCTCTTAATGTATATTAATTGTAATGAAAAAGTCCATGCTGTGTTGCATTACATGTGTAACACTTTTAAAGGTCATATATGCCATGGTTTCTTTTTTGAAGAAAAGATTCATATTATATGCCATGGTTTCTTAAGAAGTCTCATCTTTGGAGTGTTTCCTTAGGTGTAAGCTCTTAGCCTCTTACATAATTATTGCCCTATGAAAAATCCTTGGGTAGTTGAATATTATGTAGTTGAACATTATGGGAAAACTGGTCCTTGGGTAGTTGAACATTATTGGAAAACTGGTCTTCTGTTTTAGAGAAATTCTTATGTAGTCCATATGAGTTCTTGGGTATCTGAACATGGTTTAGCAATTAGTTTAGCCACAAAAACAAACAACCAAGCCTTATCCCACTAAGTGGGGTCGGCTGTATGGATCCAAGAAAGCCGCTGTGCTCGGTTTTACGCCAATTCTTCCATTAGCTCCAAGTACTCCATATCTTTTCTTATCGTCTCTTTCAAAGTCTGCCTCTACCCCTTTTGCCTTGAGCCTTCATCTATAGTCTCATCTTCTAACCGGAGTATCTGTAGGTCTTCACCATAACTTCTACTACTTCCATAGATTTTCCCATTAAGGTTCCTATATTCCCCATTTCTAAACGCATTCTACTCTCTTTGAACCCTACCCTCATGTTCTAGTTTCTTTGACCTCCCTCGTCCAGTAAGATTTTAGCAATTAGTTTTGCGAATTATCTATATTTTTGCAATTATATATCCTTTACTTTCTGAATAGTTTTCCTTGTTTCAGGGATGTTCCATTGTTGTTTTTTTTTTTATTTTTTTAATTTTTTCGCATGACTCGTATCTTATCTGGTTGTTTCCCAGTTCTATCAATTCACATGGATGATCAAATTGACGGTCGAACATTAATTGGAAGTTACGTCTGTACGGAAAAACCTGGTGAATTTAGATGGCAGCCAGGGTCACTTACTCAGGTTTGAAATCCTTCAATCATATGCAAGTGTACTTGTATAGGTGCTGTTTAACCTCAGTTGCTCAAATCAATTTCTCATTTTTGCAGGCTGTTTCTAAAGGGTATTGGGTTGTCTTCGAGGATATAGACAAAGCACCATCTGATGTGCGTTCTGTTATATTACCTTTACTGGAAGGTGCAAACCTGTTTGCAACTGGGAACGGACAGGTAAGAAGGGTTAGGAGTATGTTGATTTTTTCTTGTGATAAGAAACAAACTTTTATTAACTTCAAAAATAAGTATGAAGCGTGGATAAGAAATCCACCAACTATAACAAGCCTAAAGAATGTGAGTTCAAGTCTTTAGGTTACTGGATTTTTATGTGAGAGCTTAAATTGAACACATTGAAATTTGTATTAAAGCTTCAAGTTCTTCAAAAACCCACTTCGAAGAGATGCTTCTTCAGGAAGCAGTAAAATTTGCTTTTAAAGCCTACAAGTACTGTTGAAGTTTTCTAAAGCGGTTATGGAACTACTTCTTGTCTTTATCCTTTCTAAAACTGGCCAGGAGTTCTAGTACGGCACATTCTAGCAGATATTGAGACAGTTCATTAGTGTCTTTGGGATATTTTTAATCTTTTCTGCTTGTTACCTCCCCTTCTGCTCTCTAGAGGTTTTGGTAGTTACCATAAGGTATCTTAAATTGATATATGTCTGTCCCTCTGCACTTCTGAGGTTGAATCTTGTTTGCAGAAAACCTTTAGCATTTCAAGTTCCTATCTTTTCCAATCTATTCGTATCTTAAAAAAGAGTTCCTATCTTTTTGTAATTGAAAGGTTCTTGCCACCGTAAGAATATATATATATATATATATATATATATAGGGAACTGTTATTCTAAAATTCTCATTCTACACTCCTCACAAGTGTATTTTTCTTTCTAATTATATAAAGTTTGGAGTGCCAAATGAGATTTTTGGAGTGCTAATAACAATTCCCTATATATATATGTGGGATTGAATTTTCCTATCTTTTTGTAATTGAAAGGTTAGTCACCATAAGAATATATGCTTACACACACACACACACACACATATATATATATATGCGGGATTGAATCTTGAGAAACTATTTTTTGTCAACTATGATCTGCCCCCGATTATTGATTTCCATGTACACTGTATCTGGTATGCCCTTCCTGTTTTGTTTTAATTTATTATTTTCCTTTCTTGGGCTACGAAAGGGCTTTCTAGATTTTTTTTTTGTGTACTTGCATTTTACTAGTGGTTGAAACATTTGTGATTATTGCAGGAGATCACGGTGGCAGGAAGTTTTCGGATTTTTTCCACTATTTCAACTCTTAATCTTGATGCTTCGTGCATTTCGGGAGGTTTGTGACCCAATAGAGCCACTCCCGGTTTCTTTTTTGTCCTTAGGCTTAATTTACATAACACTATTTAATGTCATTGGTTTCAATATACAATATGTCAGTATTTCATAAAAGTTTGATTGGTCAATTTCCATTGGTTAATTTCTTTTGAAATAGAATAAGTCCTGGTGTGGGAGAGATTAGTGGAACTAAAAGTCTTCAATTCAATCCTTGTAGGAGCATTGAAAAATGGTATTGAATTGATTTAAACAAGTTGTTGTATGCTGTCAACCATTGTAATTCTAGATGGCATAGTGTTGAAGGTTCATCTGTAAATTAGAACAATTCTCTCGTCGTATATAAATGCCAGGCCACATGATTAATGAACTTTTTGTGGCAGGTCGGAATTCACTTTCCCTTTTTTTCAAAGTGAAGGTTCAACCCTCAACTAGCGAGGAGTTGCAAAGCATAGTGAAAGAATGGGATCCAAGTTTAGAGCCTCTTGCTCTGAAACTCACAGGTGTGTCCTGACTCCGTTTCTTAAAATTAGTTCATATTGGTTGATCCTTAGTTCTTACATACTTTTGGCTGGTGACTGTTCCAGAAACATTTGAAAGGATTAACACTGCCACATTACAACAAAGTGGTGGATTTCAATCTGGAAGTTCCGCTTCTGTTTATTACCAAAGTAGATTCTCATTAAGGTAAGTAAAGTTGGTTGCTGGTTTTCATATTGGTTTGTTCGGGGTTTTTATATTTTTCTTGTTTGATTTAATGGTAGGGATCTCCTCAAATGGTGCAAACGAATAGCAGGCCTCAACTTTATATTTCAGGGAGATAATTTATCTTATAAGAACCGTTCTTGTATCTATCAGGAGGTCTTAATCGATGAACTTCCTTTTCGTCTTTTGTTTTATTTCGTGGCTAGCTTTCTGTATTAAGGTTTTGGAACATTGTATCATGACTTAGGCGGTTGACATATTTGCGGCCTTCTCAACCTCTACGAAGAATCGCTTAGCTTTGATGCAAGAGATCTCCAGGTTGTGGTTGTGGGAATCAACGATTCCAGACACCTTATACCCTTCTAATAAGCCGGAAGTCCAGGTCTAGTTGATTTCAGAATTGAGATTGCAATGTACTTTGTGTGTGATTAAGTGGAACTGTAAGTTTCTCATAATCAGAGTTCTACTGCAGGATTCAAATCCGTTGGATTTAAGAGTTGGTCGAGTTTCCCTACCTCGAGCAAAAGAAAAGACTCAAACAACTGTTAGTCAGAGCTTATAACACTGTCTATATTTAAGATAGCTTCAATACAGATTTGGTGATATTCTTGTTTCTTTTGCAGTCGCGTGGTAAGAAGAAACCTTTTGTTGAGATTCGTAGTTCCGTTCACTCGCTTGAAAGAATTGCTGCATCTGTAAATTGGAATGAGCCTGTTCTCTTGGTTGGAGAAACTGGGACAGGAAAGACGACACTGGTACAGGATCTGGCTATGAGGCTTGGTCAGAAGCTAACAGTTTTGGTAATATTGCTTCCAAGTCTTTCTCCATCTGACTCTTTTATTGCTTTCTGACTTATCCTCCGGTTGCTAACTACATTATGGGTGTCTCTATCAGAGGTTGATCTACTTTGACTTTCTGTTTTGTTCCAGAACTTAAGTCAGCAGAGTGATGTTGCTGACTTACTAGGGGGATACAAGCCTATGGACATGAAATTTATATACAATCCCCTGTATAAAGAGTTTCATGATCTATTCTCTGAATCGTTTGATTTGCAGGTAGTATTTGTCTCAAAACTTCTTTTGTTGATTGTGGATATGTAACTTGGTGTAGTAACCTGTACCGTTATTTTCTTATATGCAGGTTAATTTCAAATTTTTTTGGGAGCTAGATAATGCTCTTAAGAAGGAGAATTGGGAAAGGTTAGTGAAAGGTTTTGGGCTCGGCGCTAAAAGGTTTTTCCAGAAAGTCGAAGCAGCTAGATCTGTGTCAGTTGGACAGTCTGGAAAAAAGCGCAAGAAAGCTCTAGTTGAGGATCGAATTAAAGCCTGGGAAAAATTTTCACTGAAAGTAGAGAATGCAAGTGCACATGGAATGATATTTTCATTTGTGGAAGGAGCTTTTATAACTGCACTGGAAAAAGGTGAGTGGATTTTGCTTGATGAGGTGAATTTAGCTCCTCCAGAGACTTTGCAGAGGGTTATCAGCGTGCTGGAAGGAGAGCATGGATCACTTTGTTTAGCAGAAAGAGGGGATATTCACTACATAAAACGACATCCCAACTTCCGATTATTTGCTTGTATGAATCCTGCAACTGATGCTGGCAAACGAGATTTGCCCTTCTCTTTGAGAAGCAGATTTACTGAGTATTTTGTTGATGATGTACTGGATGACGAGGATCTAATTCTATTTGTTCACCAATATTTGGGTGGCAAAGATTCCAAAGTAAAGAATATTGTGTCTTTCTATAAAAAATCCAGGAAACTAGCTGAAGAAAAGCTGCAGGACGGAGCTAATCAAAAACCGCAATATAGCTTAAGGTCTCTCTACCGTGCTCTAGAATATACGACAAGGGCAGAAAGAGAATTTGGATTTGAAAAGGCAATGTATGATGGGTTCTGTATGTTTTTTCTCACTTTGTTGGATAGCAGCAGTTCATTGGTTATGAAAAATGAGATCTTGAGTTCTTTGTTAGATGGAAAAATTCCAGATGAAGTACCTTATATTAAGTACCTGAGTAACTCAACTATTGAAGGGAGGTCTGACAACTCTAAGAAGTATACCGAAACTAAAAGTGTTGAGGAGCGTCTCAGGAATTTGGCTCGTGCTATTTGGATAAAGAAATACCCTGTTTTATTGCAGGGACCTACATCTAGTGGCAAAACTAGCCTTGTTCAGCATCTTGCTGCAATAACAGGTCATGAATTTGTACGAATCAATAATCATGAACATACAGATTTGCAGGAATATCTCGGTTCCTACATAACAGATGCTACTGGGAAGCTTGTGTTCCATGAAGGTGTACTTGTGAAAGCTGTACGAAATGGTTATTGGATAGTTCTGGATGAGCTTAACTTGGCTCCGTCTGATGTGCTGGAAGCATTGAACAGACTACTGGATGATAATAGAGAGCTTTTCGTGCCTGAATTGCAGGAAACCATTCATGCACATAAAAACTTTATGCTTTTTGCGACTCAAAATCCACCTGGTTTTTATGGTGGGCGGAAAATGCTTTCCCGAGCTTTTCGCAATCGTTTTGTAGAGATACATGTTGATGAAATTCCTGAAACTGATTTGATTGAAATCTTGCGAAAGCGGCAGCCTGATGTTACTGAAATAAGGTCTCAGAAAATGATTAAAGTGATGACGATATTGCAAAAGAAAAGGCAAACGAGTAAAGTTTTTGCTGGGAAACATGGGTTCATTACTCCGCGTGATCTGTTCCGATGGTCTGATCGTTTCGCACAACTTGGTGGTCGTGATCAGGTGGATTTGGCCCGAGATGGTTATTATCTTTTGGCAGAGAGGCTTCGTGATGAAGGCGAGAAATGTGTTGTTAGAGAAGTTCTAGAAAAAGAAATGGGTGCCAAACTTGTTGAAGACAACTTGTATCTTCAGGTACTCCCCTCTCTTTTTTTTTGGGGGGGGGGGGGGGTTCTCTAGAGTTTGCTTTCTTGGTTCCTCACATGTTTCCTTTTGGTTGTATTTGTAATTTCTTTTGAATATGCATGTCCAGTGAATTTTTTTTTATGGTGATTATGTTCTGATTTTTGTTTTCCACTTTTTATAGGAATGTGTTCCCAGCTTTCCTGATGGTGTTGAAATTCCCAAGAATCTTCAAAAGTATGTAGTTTAGACTTGAATTTTGGTTTGGTGTAGTAGGTTTTGATTAGCTTCTGAATACTGATGATAAATTTTGTTGGTGTTAGTTGGACTAAAAGTATGCGAAGATTGTACTTCCTAGTGGAGCGTTGCTATAAAATGCGAGAACCTGTACTTCTTGTTGGTGAAACGGGGGTTGGGAAGACAACTGTCTGTCAATTGCTGAGTATTCTTCTGGGTTCAAAATTACACATTCTGAACTGTCATCAATACACCGAAACCTCTGACTTTCTCGGGGTTAGTTGTGAATTTTTATTTTATTTCGTGATTTTTCTTTTAACTCCTACTTGGGGATTCTCTGTATATATAAGGTTTTGGAATGTTACTTTATTTTTATTTCATTCAAGATCGAAATGATAATTAGTGAATGCATTGCAGGGGTTTTATCCTATTCGCGAAAGGTCGAGATTAACATTGGATTTTAAAAAAGCAATTGAAGAATTGTTGATGACACAGGTTTTTAAGCGGTTCCATCTGGACTCTGTAAGAATCCTTTATTTGTTTAATTTTCAAGCCTATTCCTTATCTGTTACACAGTACCATCCTTAAGCATGCGTGGGACTAGTTTTTCTAATTTTTGTGGGATGTACTGTAGTTCATGGGTAGTATGCGACTATGTGTTACATATTTGATGTGTGCGTGCGTGTGTGCACGCCCGCGCGCACGTGTCTTATAAATGAAATATACAGCACCAGCTTCAGGTCGGACCCACCCTTTTTTCCATTCTTTCAAGGAATTGGGATTGTTAATGGCGTCTAATCCACATTCTGTTAGATGATCTAAAACCGTCTTTTTAGATCTCATTTCGAGAGTTATGTTGCCAACGATCAATCGAATCGAAAATCAATTTATCCATTGATAATCATGTTGACTTTTGCTTATTTATTATTATTATTTTGCATGAAGATTTTAAAATTAGATGGTTCAGTTCATTGAACTAGAATGTAAACTTGGATCATCTAGCAAGCCCTGTACAAACAAAATAGATAAAGAGGGATCCTTTTCAAACGATTGAAGATCTTTTATTAGGTCTATATGTAAAGGTCATCTGTGTAGAAAATCAGCCAAGTCAGAAACAATTTGGTTGTCTAACCGTGATCAAACAGACAGAGGGACACATAATTTCTGATACATACTCAAATAGTTGTGATGATAGTCCAATGGCTAACTGCTGTCTAAATTGACTGATTTTTCATAGGGTGAACACTTTAATTAAGACCTTAAAAATAGATTATTAAGATTATTGGATTGTTTACAATGCTCTCTTGCATTTCCCTTTTAAAGATGGATCAATCATAAGAAGCTGAAAATGCTTCAAGACTTGTTTCAAGTGAAAAGTATTTTCATTTTTTTATTTTAGTGAAAAATAGTAAGGTTGCTTAATGTCCATTATAAATTATAATAGTGATTTTTTCTCTTCTTTGTAGACTGTCTCTTCGGACATAGGTCAAGCCTCTGCAACATTGTCTAATCTGAACAAGACGATAAAAGCTTACAAAAAGGGTCCGATTTTGAATCCTGATGTCACCAATGAAGATGTGATGACTTTGGAAAGGATAATATTGAAGCTATCTGAGATGCACCAAAAGTGGCAGAAAATGTTTGAATGGTTGGATGGGCCCCTTGTGCAGGCAATGAGGAGTGGTGATCTCTTTCTTGTGGATGAGATTTCCTTGGCTGATGATAGTGTACTTGAGAGGTTGAATAGTGTCTTGGAAACAGAGAGAACACTGTCTTTAGCTGAGAAAGGAGGTCCTGATCTGGAGAAAATTGTTGCTCATGAGAAGTTCTTTTTGCTTGCGACAATGAATCCTGGTGGTGATTTCGGTAAGAAGGAACTATCTCCTGCTCTTCGTAATCGGTTCACAGAGCTATGGGTTCCCCCTATAGATGATAGAGGTGAGCTTAAAAGTATTGCATCTCAGAGGTTGTCACCTGAATTCTCATCCATTTTGGATCCTTTGCTGAACTTCTGGGAGTGGTTCAACCATCTAAAGTCAGGAAGAACACTTACTGTGAGAGATCTACTATCTTGGGTGGATTTTGTTAATGTGACTGGAATCAAGTTAGGACATGTGTATGCATTCCTTCATGGGGCATTCCTTGTTTTGCTTGATGGACTGAGTTTAGGTACTGAAACTTCGAAAGGGAACAGCAATGATGTAAGGGAGCATTGCTGGTTGTTCCTTTTGGAAGAATTGAAGGTTTGTTGGGTTTCTTTCAACTTGAATTGTTGTCTGCTCGGATTGCTTGCACTTTCTAATTTTGTTCTTTTGCCTGTCCATCAATTGGCTTCCATTGTGAAACATGACTCCTAGTGGTTTTGTTGTCAATTTAATATCTCCATGCTTGCATTCATTGTAGGTAGCAGAGGAAAAACTTAGTGAATTGGACTTCAAAAAACTTTCAAAAATGCAAAACTATGGTTGGGGCGCTCGTGAAACAATTAAACAGGATTCATCCAGTGGTAGCATGCAGTGTGACAACATTTTTGGTGTGGATCCTTTCTATGTAGAGAAAGGTAACTATGCGATGCAACATGCACTCACTGTGTTTTATTGTTTTGAAAAGGTTACCCGTAGGCACTGTAAGGAACTGTTTTCTTCTCTCACGTTTTTGTGGCACTGTACTTTAAATTATTATGATTGAATCATTTTGATGTTTGGTCTTCAATTTTAGTCACTCTGTCCTCCTATGATGTACTATAGGTTCTGAAAGTTGTGACACTGAGGGGTTTGAAATGTTGGCACCTACCACCAGGAAAAATGTCTTGCGGGTACTGCGAGCTATGCAGCTTCCGAAACCTGGTATATCTTTTCAAGTACCAATGTTGCTTTCGAGCGTCCCCTTTTTCTTTTTGCTTTTCATAGCGTATATTACATCTTGTTTAAATATCTTAATTTGTTTATGCTCTCCAGTTCTATTGGAAGGTAGTCCAGGTGTTGGGAAAACAAGTTTGATTGTTGCATTGGGCAAGTTTTCTGGTCACAAAGTTGTCAGGATAAATTTGTCCGAGCAGGTTGGTATTATTTTCCAGCTTTCATATTTTTATATAGCATAGACATATGTTTTGCTCACTGTTTTTTGTCTCTATGCATCTGGGGATGGTTCCTATGGTTCTGATGCAGACTGATATGGCGGACCTGTTGGGCTCAGACTTACCGGTTGAAAGTGATGAAGGATTGAAGTTTGCGTGGTCTGATGGGATCCTATTACAGGTTAAAACACCTTGTGTTTGAAGTTTAATATCTGTAGCTGTGACATGAATCCACCTTACTCTCATTTTCTTGTCTTACGTGTCAATTCTTGCAGGCTTTGAGAGAAGGTTCGTGGGTTTTGCTTGATGAACTTAATCTTGCTTCACAATCTGTATTGGAGGTATTATGAGGGCCCCTTTTGTTTCTCTATGCAATTATATTTGTATCTCTTTCTCTATTCCGTTTTTCTATGGAAACATATTCGTTTCAAGGACTCCTTTATATTGTTTTGTATGTGTAATATGATTAATGGCGAAATGTGCCTTATTAGGGTTTAAATGCTATTCTGGATCATCGAGCTGAAGTTTTCATTCCAGAGTTAGGCTATACTTTTAAGTGTCCCTCGTCCTTCAGAATATTTGCTTGCCAAAACCCTTCCCATCAAGGTGGAGGCAGAAAAGGCCTTCCAAAGTCCTTTCTCAACCGTTTCACTAAGGTATTTGTTTGACTGTCATTTGAATTCCGTATATAGTTGTGTGAACCTCACTTTATTATGTATGCTTGCAATAGGTGATGATATAAATGTCTTTCATTGTTTCAGGTGTATGTGGATGAGTTAATTGAGGATGATTATCAGTTTATCTGCAGTTCCCATTATCCATCAATTGACAGAACTCTGCTTTCAAAACTGATTGTGTTTAATAAACGGATGTACGAAGAAACCATGGTGTATCACAAATTTGCTCTGGATGGTTCTCCTTGGGAGTTTAATCTACGAGATGTGATTCGATCGTGTCAACTCATACAGGGTTTGAACCGCTTGTTATCTTTTTTGTTTTTAGTTCTTCGCAAAGTTGTATTTTGGATAGTGCTGTATTCTAATATTTTGTTTTCAATTCAGATGCACCCTTTATGTCCAAGGAGTATTGCTTCCTGGACATTGTTTATGTTCAAAGGATGCGTACAGAATCAGACCGTAGAAAAGTCCTACAGTTGTATGAGCAGATTTTTGAGAGGAAGCCACATATAACTCCTTACCCACGAGTTCACCTCAGTTCTGGATACTTAATTGTTGGAAACACTTCCATAAGAAGGAATTGTGTTCAGTCATCTAAACTTCCCAGCAGCACACTTAAAATTTTGCCCTGAAATCCGTCAAAGCTTGGAAGCAACTGCACAATGTGTAGAGAATAAATGGATGTGTATCCTGATTGGTCCAGCATCGTGTGGTAAGACCTCATTGGTCAGGTTACTAGCTGAGCTCACAGGAAATGTGCTGAATGAATTACATCTTTCATCTGGAACTGATATATCAGAAATACTTGGATGCTTTGAACAATATAATGCCTTCCGAAATTTTCGCTTGGTTGTTGCTCAGATTGACTCCTACGTAAAGGAGTGTTGCAATTTGCGATTAGAGTCCTCAAAGGATGCAGTTTCACTTAGCAAAGGTTTTATTCCCAGATGGTTTAGTTTCTTGTCGAGCGTTAATTGGGATTCTAGTTTTACTTCTACTTTTCTCGAGGATACAGGGAGATTTTCCAGTTCTCTTGCTTTGTTAATTGAAGTCATTGACAATCTAAAGTTGGTTATAACTGGGGCAAGCAAAGATCTTGATGAACTTAGGATGACAACTATCAAGTTGCAAAACGGTTATGAGAAGGGGCCAATTTCGGCAAAGTTTGAATGGGTTACGGGAGTATTGATAAAGGCTGTAGAGCGTGGAGAGTGGATTGTTCTAGAGGATGCAAATTGTTGTAATCCCACGGTATGTAAGCTTTGCCATGCCTACGCGTTATTTACCCTCTAACATTCATGTTATTTGTCACTGTCCAGTAATGTTCACTCTCCCTATACTTGTTTGTCATGTGACATGGTTTTTTTTTATTGTTAAATTAGGTACTTGATAGGATCAATTCTTTGGTTGAGCTGTCTGGATCAATTACAATTAATGAGCGTGGGGTTGTGAATGGAAAACCACTTGTTATTCAACCGCATCCTAATTTTCGAATGTTCCTGACTGTAAACCCAACTTATGGTGAAGTATCCCGAGCAATGAGGAACAGAGGAGTTGAAATATTTATGATGCAGCCGTATTGGCTACTTGGCGAGAGTAGCAGATTCAGTCGTGACCGTGAGGGTACTGAACTAAATGATGTAAAAAGATTCCTTGTTCTTTCAGGCATTCCCTTTGCCAAATTAGTGCATTCAATGGCCAAATCACATATCTATGCTAGAGGAGAAGGATTACGTTCTGGTGTTTCCATCACATATCTTGAGCTTTCCCGATGGGTTCAGTTGTTCAAACAACTTCTAATGAATGGAAGCCAGCCTTTGTGGAGCCTTCAGACAAGCTGGGAGCATATATATCTCAGTACACTGGGTGACGTTGTCGGAAGAAATGCAATTAGTCATGTCAAATACACATATTTACTGGTAACTGAATTGTGTGAATCTAAGTTGTCAATGCACCCATCTTTGTGTTTGCCTGGAGGATGGCCAGCGCCATTAAAGCTGAGGGATATTGCATGGAACACGAAAGAAGCTCGTGTGAAGACTAACTGCATGTACCTCGAGTTCCTGGGGGGCAAGTACGCATCATACCAATTACAACTCGCAAGTAGTAGGTGCTCTATGCACCAGGATTCAACTGCTCGCGAACTAGTGACTTACTTGAGGGGTACAGGGATGCTAAATGAAACTATGGTTCACAGGGCTTCCCCCTTTTTGACCTTAAACTCTGTGGAGAATGCTGAGGTTGATAAGGCCTTAGCAAAGGTTGAGAAAAAGCTACTTTTTGCTGCCAAATGGGCCATTGAACAAGCTACTGAAAGTGATCTCAAGCTGTACCTTCTATGGTTTAACTCATATTGTTCTCAATTACAGTGCTTCCCTCAGTTCAAGCATTTTGTGGATTCTATTATACAAAGTAAGAAGCATCGTATTTGGGAATACATGTCCCTTCGATATCATGACCTTGCGTCTATTCACAAAGTAGAATTTGAAAACCAGCTGATACCACTGCTCTCATTTGAGTTGGTGGATGCAATTGAGTCAAATGACAGGTCCAATTATCAAAAGTGTTTTCACAATGCTTTGAATTTTGTAATGCAACTGAGGCTCACTTATCAACAGTGGAATACTGAGAAAAGCTATGATTATAGTAAAGCTCACCTGCTAAATAAAGGTCGTTACTTAGAAGTGTTACAATCTTTGCAGAAGTTGGAGGGGGAATTCCTTTCTAAGTTTGCTGATTCATCTGTCATGCTAATTGAGTCCCCATCTTTTGATGCACTCATTCAGTTGTACACTGACCTTCTTGAGGATCATATATTATTTTGGAAAGGTTTGAAGTCATCTGACTCGGATATGTTGCTAATCTTTTGGCGATTGGTGTTGAAGCATGCTGCAAAATTGAAGGACTTCTTTCCTGAAGCAGTGTATAATCTGCTGGTAGGCTAATAGTGATGTACTTCTTTAGCTTTCTTGTGATGTATTTTTGTCTTGATTTTTTTCTGTTTTTGTTTTGTCTGGAATAGAAAGAGAGCGGGAAGCTGGAAAGTTCTTTGCTTTTCCACTCAAAGAAGTCCTTGCTGTGGGTTTATGGCGGTCACCCAATTTTGCCTTCTTCTGTTAGAATATTTGAAAAGCAGCTTCAGATTTTGGAACTTTGCGAGTCGGTTTGGCCAACACGAGCAAGATTATTTGTCCATGGTAGGACATTAGCTTTCTCTATTTCTTTGGTTACATTGACTTTTGAGCTTATATAATGCTGTCTATGTTTGGTTGCTGTTACAGAGAATGATCCTGTGATTGGGGTTGCATCCTCAAGTTCTGATCTCCGCTCCCTTGTGTTGGAAGGTTGGTTTTTATTTTTTTATTTTATTTTTTATTTTAACATACTTCTTTGATTGTGCTCATCCAAATTGATCTGTGGCCCCGTCATTACAAGTTCTTATGATATTATTAACTTATATAGGTATTTCCATGTCGTCATGTATCACGGGTAAATCTGATTCTTATGAGGATGAGGACCAAGTTGTTCAACGGCTGGATGGAATTTATCAGGTGGGAGACCTTCATGTTTCCACAATCACCATTTTGAGTATTCCTATCACATGTTAATGAAATACATATCTGTACTTTTTTTTTTTTTCGGCAGAGTCTTTTGCAAATGTTAAAGGAAAGAGTCAAATTGAAGGAGGCTTCAAGGTCAAAAAAAGTTTTGTCCGAAGTGACTGCATCTGTTTGTTGTTCTATTGGTGACGAGGCATTAGGTCAGACATTTGGGCATGGCTGTTGGCAGGACACATATCCTCTGACTGATAGTAAAAGCTTTGCCCTGGATATGAAACTACTCCAGGATCTATCATCTATCATTCTGGTCAATAGAGAAGAAAAACAGCTGGTAAGATCATCTCAGTGGTGCTTTGAAATTTATAACCACAAACTATATACGACATCATTCTAAGCTCATGAAGGAATTGCTTATAATTCATAGTCCCTCCAGTGCTTTTTTTTATTTTATTTTATTTTTTTTAACTGTCGGCTTTAGTTGCTTCCAGTAGACTCATATTATTTAAGTTTTATACTTACTCTGGAAACTAAGGGGTTTAGAGTAGGTATTTTCTTGTTGTACTTGTTTAGGTAACTGTTTGAATGGATAAGTTCTGTAAGCAATTAGTGCATAATAGTTATTCATATTCATTTCTTGTGTCTACTTATCCTTTTTGAGAAATCAAAATTCCAATTTGGATGCTGTACTCCATGGTTACTTTCCTAACTTTACTAAACATAGTTATTGGAAAACTTCATCCCCGTGGAGAAATGTAGGATATATTTTCCTTTCCCCTTCCTATTCCTTGAACTGAACAGAGCCCAAGTTTTTTGGAAGCAAAAAGATGAGCATGGTGTTATGGAGGTGTTTTGTAAATTTTGGGTGATCTAAGTGGAAGGGAATAGGAGGTAGCAAGGGCCGATGATTTACCACTTGTTAGGGTGTGGATTCGGCTTCCCTGTGAGTGTCACTATGTTGAGAGTTGGTTTTGGATTTAGCTATGCTCTTAGCCTCTTAGTAATTATCCTTGTTACTTTTCAAGTTGTTGTTCAGTAGATACCTTTTCCCCTGCATTATATTGCTCTTTTCCTTGTCAATGGAAGTATTTTCTTATGGTCTTACCTCCAAAAGAAAAATGAACTTGTTTTTAATGCAAGCATGTTTTTTTATGAAGAAACAAAAGTTTATTGCAAAGAATCAATAAAAATACAAAAGCCCGCAAAGACACACAAAACAAGATAAATAGCACCATCATCCATACGTTTAGAAACTATAGAAACAACACAAAACTAACTAATAGCCGCATTCTAGTTACGCCAAATTTCTGAAAAAGACAAATCTCTAAATTCTGTCGTAACCAAAGCCCACAGAGATGACCATTACCGAACGTTATCCCACATATCCTCCCTTCTACTGCCTTCGTTGTTCTAAAAAATCGGCTTGTTTCTTTCCATCCAAATGACCCAAAAAATAGCTGAAACTATACATCCCCATAAGACCTTGATTTTCTTCCCCTTTCCTGATAATTTATGTTCCTCTACCATAAGAGAACAACAATGCCTGGGTAAAACCTAACTGATACCGAACTCCTTAAACAACTTCAATCAGAGATTTAAAGCCACCGGACAGTGAAGAAACAGATGGTCAACAGGCTCTGAACTTAATGCAAGCATGTTGCTACCTTAAAGGACAAGTAATTGTGTTAATTTTACTTATCTTTGAATGACAGGAATTGGCCAAAATATTGAACCATCTGAAGTATGCATTGACATTCTCAGTGAACAATTCATCTAGACCCCCTCAAATGTTTCTTCCCCATCAGAAGATTTTCTGGATAATGGATTTGTGGAGTTCAGTTGATTCAGGTCAATGAAATTTTCTGTTACATTCGTTTACCTGTTATGTCATCAGTGTGCTTATCTTTTTTCTTTATGCTGCAGTGAATACAAAAATTTCCAGCTTTGTACTCGAGATGTGGTTTCGGTGGCATCAATCCTTGTGGATTTATTGCCCAGTTTCTGTCGAGGTACATATATTATCTTATGTGGTGGGATATTTGCGCTAGCAAATTTCATTCACTGACTCATTTCTGGTTTCATGGTACTCTAATTGCATGCAGAGCTTCTTAAGCACAGCTGTTTACGATATTCAAGTACGTGATATTCCAGTACCTGATGTGCTGATTCACCCTGTGGTAACAGCAACAGTCTTCCAGATACTGTAAGATGTTTGCTTCCTTTTAAAGTATTACTTATTCTACACGTACCTGGCCTGGGTAGAAATTCTTCATGATGGTCTTCTATATTTAATTTATAAGGAAAATTTTTCATTCATAGTACTTCTAGTTTTGGCAGTTTCAAGTTTTATTAACAGCAACGACTATTTCTCATGACACATTTGATCCTTATCATTGAATACATTTTTACATATATCTTTGTTAATTTTTTCATACCGAGATGCTTGTTTAGCTATTGATGTGTCTTTAACATGTGATCTTGTCATCGCTTTCCTCTCTCTCTAATTAATTAGGAAAAGCACATCTTCTATCAAGGATTATGTTGTGGGCTCTCTGAAGCTTAGAGCTGCATCGTGTAATCTATGGCGCAGCTCTCTCCCAGGAGCAAATTTACCTTGTTTTCTACTATCCACTGCTCGTTCTCTGTTCCAGCAGGTAGAGTACCTTTTTATGAGTTGTTGACTAAGGTTTTCACAAGTATAATACATATATATTCATATGATGCTCTGCTTGTAGATTATATATGCACACGAGAAGTCTTTTGACTCTGACCAATTCGCTAAGATCAAGTCAACTTTAGAGGTATGTTGTTATAAGTTGTCTGAGTATTAAGTAGTTTGTTGAACAATTAAGTGCTGCATGGAATTGGGTCATGCCATTCTGTTTTTACATTGGGTTTAGTCGTAACATTCGGAATTTTGTTACCCATATTCTTCTCCTGTAAACTTGTGATACTTTTCAGAATTTTATTACTTCGAATTGGGTTATAGTTTCATTTCATTCTCACTTCATAACACTAGGATTTGTACGCGGTTTATCATGAGATGATACCTTCAAATTTTTATTACTTTGAACTGGGTTATACTTCTGTTATGTTTTCACTTTGTAACACTAGGATTTGTAAGTGGTAGACCATGAAATGATCATTATTTGGCAAGGTTAATTACTATGTCTAGAGGAAATCAGAATTAACTTTTTCGTTAACAATGTCTAATCTTAACGATGTCTAATCACAATGAATTTCCCAAAATAATTAGATATTGACTGCTCTATTGTACTTCGCTATGGTAACAGCAAGGAACCGGTGTTGTGGGATCTCTTATTTCAGAGTCAAGTCATCATGGTCTGAGGGAGTCGGTGGATATGTTTATTGAGCCACTGCTTCGAAACCTCTATCCCCATTACTCATCTAAAGGTATTCTTTAGGAATTCTTTGTGCATACAGTTTTGGCGCTTGTGAAACCCTCATCGTTTTCATAGTGTTCAAATATATTTAACATTTATTTTTAGTTCACACTGAAGTTATCTGCATCCATATCCAGATTTTGATATCATTCATTCTTGTGACAATTTTTTTTTTCTTTTTACTGGCAAGGCTGTTTGTTGGTTTATAAATTGTTTTCAATTATATTTAATATTTACTTGAATTTTCAGAGGTTGGCTTTATTCAAGGCTGTGTTTGGCTGCGTCTTGGGATATTACGTCTTAATCTATTGCTGTGCTGTGATGATTTGGATCCTGCCATGAAATACCATTGCAAGAATTCACTGTTAGCAGAGAAAATATCGTCGCTGAAACTTGAAATTAAGGTTTCTTCCCTGAATATATTTTTCTATTGCACGAGTTGTTACAAAAGTGTACTGACATTATAATCATCTTTTACACGCAGGCACTTATTGGTATTTTAGTAGGCATGTACAAATTGACATTTGTGTATTTGGCATAATCCTTTCGGTGGCTGATTTCTGTTTCTTGCATATTGCTTTGTATATATTGAATTATTTCATTTTGTTCTACTGAAAGTTTGTTTGCTCTGAAGAAACATGTTAACATACTTGTCTATATGTGTGCATGCTTCTGCAGTGGCACTATATGTGGTTGCATCACTAATTCTGGTTTTGTTTTGATGTTTTCCCGAAGATCTGAGGTGTTGCTGCAGCTTTCATGTGTCTTATAGAAGTGTAATCCTTGTTTATTGTGTTGTACTGTTTGTTTATTTTGTAAAGAGTTATGTATCTTATTAAATATCTGTCGGGAGCAGTTACATCAATAAGCGAAATAGTGCATCAAAAACTGTTTATAATGAATGTAAGTTAATAAAGTATCTTAACGTATTATGAAGTTACAGCTGTGATCATCTATACTGACCGGTTACAAGTATCATGTGCAGTTTTACGGTTTATTTCAAATAAGTTATGAACTTATGACTGCGAAACTAGTTTTTAATGATTCAATGAGATTAAAGCTGAATTTTTACAATGAATTCTTGTTTTCTGGCTAGGTTCGGCAAAAAAGTGAATATTTGGCCGGGCAGATTTCTACAAGATATTCTCATGAAAAAAGGTCACAGGCGTTGAACAAGCTTGAAGTGGAGCACAAAAAGCTACAGAGAAAGGTATAACAATTTTACTTTTGCTCCACACTATCAATATATTTTGAGAATTCATATACTTAGTGGAGTCGTTTTTGGTTCAAAATGCATCACTCTATTTGTTACCTTTTCCAGCGAGAAAACAATGCACATGATTAGTGATGATACCTTTGTCTGCTTCTTCTAAAAGGCATCTTGTCTTTTTAGAATATATTAATGACCATTATTGCAAGTCATGTGTTGTGCCTGTTGAGCTATGTGAATGGTGAACCTTATTGTTTTGGATTTTAATTTTCTGTATGTTTAAGAGTGAACCTCTCAGTCATACTGTATACCACCTTCCCTTTTTTTTTTTTTTTTTTTCCTCACTGAGGTCTTTCGTGCACATGCACATGCACTTTGACCGATTAACTGGTTGTGTTTGTATTATATTCAATCATATGGTTCATAATACCTCTGTTTTTTTAAAATTCTTTTTTGAGTTTTTTTGGTGACCATCCTCAGTTTCTCTTCTCGTTGTACTTCATGTGTCTCCTGTAGTGCTTCTTTTCAGAAACCTTTCGAATGCATAGCTTATGCTTTACTGAGTGTGCTTCTGGGCATAGGATACCTCTTACCGATTGTACTTGATGGATTTTGGTTTAAAATTTTGATATTATGTTCATTCCTACTGTGTGTCATAAATTTTGTCAAATGTTTTTCAAACCATGAGTGCTATGATCATTTGCTCTTCTTTTTGTACTTCTGGTGTCTCCTTTTAGTGTAATGTTTCTTTAGTAGCAGCCCTCTCTTGAATGCATAGATTATCTTTAGTCATTAGACTCATTACTGATGTTAGAATGTCAGGACCCCGAATTGGTAATCAGTGGAGAGGCAATATATCTTTTAAGCTCTTTATGCTAGGATCCTATCCTAATTGTGGGACATTCTGAACTGGTTCTGCTTGAATGAATAGGATCTTATTCATATTCTTCTTGATGGATCTTGGTGTCTGAAATTTAAGATTTTGTGGAATAGCCTCTACATATACTATATTTTCAGCTTCACCGGACTTCAGGTAGCATTTCTTCTTTAGCCGTCTCTTCTATTTTTTCTGACGATAATCTTTTGTTTGGTGCTTAGATTGTGTTCCGCTCTGACTACCGGAAATTTAAAGGCTTGAAACAAGAATGTAACAAGTTTCTTGAACGTGTCACATCTGATGAATTTTTTCAGCATGTTACATCTGATATGTTTTGCAAACACATTTCATGTTCAGAAGTTTCAGTTGGTAGTGTTGATGCCATTAATTTACAACAGATTCTTGACCAAGGCATTAACTGGCAGGTATGTCTCTAAATGGCGTGCAATATTATGCTTGATAATTGTCAGTCTATTCATTCTGTTTTAAGCTGTTATTATGTTTTCAGCTTTCCAATTGTTTTAACCCTTGATTTTAATTCTTATGTTTATCTCAGAAAATGGCAACTGGTTTTATTGAACAACTATTATCAGATGAGTACCGTGAGTACACAGATTTTGTTCAACCAGTTCTGGTTGCATTATATGAAATTAAATTGGGCTTGGCGCTGATTCTGTCTGGCATCACACAAAAGATAATCCTAAGTAGAGTTGAGATGGCCAATACAGATATGCTTATGGTATTTTTTTTATGCTTTTATGTTTGTGGATTTTGGCGGTGTTTTGTTGCTTTAATGACTTACTTGGAGAGTTTGACAGGGATCACTTTGCTCATTCATGAGATTCCCCCGGGTATCAGTTCCGAAGACCATTTCTATTGACTTAAACAGTGGTTCGAGCGAATTTCCCTATAACATAGAAATTCCTACAATCTTGAATGCTGATGACATAAGTCATCTTGAGAAGTTGATCACCTTTTCCAGTGGTGGTCTGAGCGATGATATGGTGTGTATTGCATCTTATAATCTTTTTCTACACAGGGTATCCCGTTTAAGTGTGCTTGAAGTTTTACTTCTGGATTATTTCATTCACTAGAATTGTTTGGCATAAAATTCAATGCTCATAATATATTGTCCTACAGATATCTGTTTCACAACTTAAAGCTTCTCTGCACCGAAACATTGTTGTCCGTGTTGCACATTTCGTTGCTAATGCGTGGCTGATGGATTATGCATCTTTTATGGTTTGTTTCTTTCCCATTTTGAAACTGTTTGAGTGAAATTTACTCAAAGTTATTGACTTCTGATAATACATTTTCTTTGTGATTCAGGTATTGGATAAGATATTTAATGTGTTTGCAAGTCGTTGGATGAGTATGAAGATTCAATCTAAAAATGAAGAGGAAGCACATTCTCAAAAATTCAAGTTTAAGCCTCGTGCATTAAAACTTGAGAGTATAATTGATCTCAACATATCATCTCTTGGGAAGTTATTTGCAAATGAAAGCTTCTTAGAATGGAAGGAATTTCTTTCTAAAGATATGCCTATTGAAAGGGTAATGCTTCTGTGCTTTTTCCCGCTTCCTCTTGGAAGTAATTTTCAGAGTTTGTGTATTTGTTCATTATTTGCGTTCTGGTTGTAGATTTCATGTATGCGTATTCTTCCTGGGTATTTTAATACTTCTGTACTTTTTCCTGCTATTCTCATAATAAAATATTACCCATTCAGGAGGAAGATTTGAAAGAACAAGAAGATTTAGATGAAGAATGGAGTTTTATGGATGATTCCCTTGTTAACGACGTGGTCAATGCTCACAATCAGTTATTTGGTTCATGTAATCTCGTTCTAGCAGTAAGTTGTCTGTGAAACTTAATCCACAACTACTATTTACTGCTGAAATCAACATCTTTTTATTTTTTGCCTCTATGCTGCATTTTTTCACTCCTGATCCATAAGTTACACATATTACCTTTGTTCTCCTCTCGTGCAAAGAATTTTGTTTGATGCCGATTTATTTGCTATAGTGGCGTAAATTAAGTTTTAGGGGTGCTAAGGAGTAATAGTTCCGCGGACATAGGCATAATTTACCGTAATTCTTTGTTATGTATGTTCCAGACTATGATGGGCCTTAATTTTTGTGATGTATGTTCTTTTGCAAATCAAGATTGTTATCCGTGGAAATTTTTTTGTGATGTAAGTTCAAGGAGGCAGGAAAATATTTGGTCCGAACTATGGGTTGGAAATGTTTTGTTTTTAGTTTTGCTTGGCTATGGAGGGTGATGTTCTTCTATTTTTTTTCTTGTTTGGTGGATTCTTGGTCCACTTTTATGTAATTTTGTTTTACTGAGTACTAAGGTGGTCACTTTAGAAAATAATACTAAGAAAACATATTTGGTGTGTCACTTTCTTTTTCTGATATCCTGTATGTGTTTACATTTGAGTGACATTGTTTATTTTTCATGCAGCCGGGTACTTTCCATATCAGCGATCTGGACAAAACGCTTTCATTCATTGATTCTCATACGCTTGGAGTAGGGATGATCAAGGGTGAAGATTTTTTTGCGGTGGCTTTTTTTCTTTCTTGCTTTTCTGTGTTATACTATGTTTGCATAGTAATAGTCCTTTTCATTTCCAGGTTTAGGGGGTTCATTTCTTTCCAGTCTGGATGCTGCACTTGCACCAGAGAATCTGTTTCGTATTTGTTTGGAGCATGAGCAGAAGTTTGTTTCTTCTGATACGTCAGTCCACAAATATAACTTTTACAAGGTGTGTAAACATTTGTGTCCTAGTATGAATATTTTATCTTCAGTAGCATCATACCAGTAAACTGACTTCCATATCTTAATTTGTAGGATTCAAATGCTCCGAAGATGTATGAAATGGTGAAATTGCTTACTGGTCTTCAACAGCGAATTCATACCCTTTTAATTGAGTATGAAGATCATCATGAACTTCAGAAAATCATGAATGCTGTTGAAATGCTTATGAATATTCCACTGAACACCTGCCTAGCTAAGGTATTGATACTTCCAATTAGTACCGTAAATTTATTATGTTTAACAAGTATTTTATCAAAAAATCTCTACAAAAGATCATTTCACCGTTTTTGATGCCAGAAGTTATCTTATGCCAAGGCTACAATTTTCATCCTTGTACATTCTTTTCCCTGCATAGGCCCTTTTAGGATTGCAGTTTCTAATTAACAAGCTCCATACATTACAAGAAAATGGTTCACAATTTGCGTTCTCTGGTAAGAGTTCTCATTCAATGAGCATTTCCTTCGTGGTGGAATTTGTTCATTTTTCAATGTTCACTTTTTTCTATGCCTTCTTAATTCTTATAGATCAAGTCAAGCCCATTCGTGAACTGGTGTTCTCGTGGCAAAAGATGGAGTTCAATTCCTGGCCTGCCTTACTTGATGAGGTGCAGGATCAGTGTGAGGTTAATGCTGGAAAGGTAAATCAAAGTTACTTGTAATTGTGAAAGTTAAATCAATAGAAAAGCAACAATAATTAACCCATAAAAAAGTTGAGTAACAATAATGTTGAAGAATGGCCAAAGAAAATAAAATTATTGAATCCCGATTTATTCATTTCCTTCTTGCACCATATCACTCATGTTTGAGAAAATATTTGAGCCTTTCTGGTTTGTGCTTTGTGGTTTTAATTATCAAGTATTGTTCAAGTTTCAATGGCTCTTTATACCCAATCCTTAATTGAATCATAAATTTCCACTACTGCCGTAATGTAATATGACAGTAATTTTTTAATTAGGCGAAAAAGCCCACTTAAAGAAATAATACCTTTACCCACCCCAGTACTAGTCACTCATCTCTTCCCATTGAAAATCCTAAACATAAATTGGTACAAATGAATCTATTATTAAAAAATGGATGATCAAATGGTAGTTTGGGAGGCTTCAAATGCGTAGCAAATGAACAATATCCATTTTTATCTTGTTTAAATCTTTTTGTAATTTCTAAAACTGGAATCACGGGATATAACCTTCGGCTCTGCATCACCTTGTAACTTTCAAGTCAACAACCAATCAACATAACAAAATTGGGTTGATTCAAGGCTAGTATTTGAGGAAGATGGTATGGTTTACTTATGAAATCAGAGATTTTTAATAAGACGGGTGTAAGATAGAATCACGTGTCAACTTACGTAAAAATTAAGTTCAAATGAGGCTCTCTTAGCTTAATTGATGAACGCCTTGATATTGCAAGTTCATTTCTCTAATATAGTGAATAAAATTGCTTAGTTATTGATTGATTTTGCATATCTAATTTTATGCTTTTGTCTTGTCATTCTTGCAGATCTGGCTTTCGCTTTATTCAGTTCTACGACCTTCTGATGCTGTTGAATACGAAGAATCTACTACCCATAGGCACGTTCAGAATATGTTTATTTATTTTTTCTTGAATATTATTTATGGGAAACTTTGTGGTTTAATGTTAGATTGTGTGACATGTCTGCAATTTTGCAGTTTGGAAGACTTCTTACGTTTATCCAGTATTGGTGAATTTAGAAGGCGCCTTCAACTTCTTTTTGCTTTCCTTGGCCAAATAACTACTGGTACAAACCTACAGGTTTATTCAAGGTATGATAATAAAACTTGCGTACTATTTTTTTGCTCTACCGTACTGGTAGTAAAATTACTCTTAATAGGTTCATGTCAGAGATGTTAAAATTATAGTTTTCAGGAGCAAATGCTTCCATTTAAAATACTTTTTCCTTCGGCAAGGGATATTAACTGTTAACAATCATGCAGTGATTGTGAGAAGAAAAATGTAAAGATTTTATACAATGCATTTGGATATTACGTGCAATTCTTACCAGGGTGAGTTCATCAACTCAATGTGCCCTTTTTTCCCATTCTCTGTTTTCTTTCTTTTCCCATCACAATCTTTGAGATATTGCATTGTTTTCATCAGAATTTTGGCACATATGGATTCTAGTAGAAGGGATATAGAGATGGAACTCAAGAAAGAACTCAAACTATGCCAGTGGGAGCACTGTGAGAGTTTTCTGGACTTTGGGAAAGTCGAAAGCACAAGGAAGAAGCTGAAGAAGATTATAAAGAAGTACACTGTAAGTATATATAGTTTATTCCACAAACTTGATGTTACTTATTGCTAATTGGGTGATCTCATGACTAGGTGTATTCCACGAACTTGATGTTCTATTGTAGACTTTCTGTTACCCTAATATCTTCTATGTCGGTCAACGTATATTGGTTTGGTTCTGAATCTGATAGACTAGAATGTAATTTTTGTTACATCTGATGCTTTCCCTGAGAATTTAATTTCTTTTTAACTAATATCCAATTGTCATGTAACTTCTTTAATTTGGCTGGAATGTTATCAGAATTCTGGACACACTATTGATCATGATCATTGACCTAGTGTAATATTGTCTGTATGCGTGGCCCTCGTCTGATAAAAGAACAATACTTGGTTATGTGCTTTTTCCATATTTACTTTGATGAGGTAATGATTATATGCCTCTGTTCTTGTTTGGATAGGTCCTACTTGAACAACCTGTAATTGTTTTTCTTGAGCAAGATATTGTGAAGGGGGCTGAATGCCTGCCTCAACAAGTTCAAAAGTTCCTCATGGATAATGTGAACCCAAAAATAGGGACGGCAGATGCTGTTTTTGATTTGACTGTGTTGAATGACAAAGATAGGTGTATGTGGTACACTGATTGGATAAAAGAAGCAGATTCTGCTATGAAGAATCTGAAGAAATTACAGCCAGATAGAACTCTTGAATTTGCATATCCACAGTCTAAAGGTGCTGGAAGTTTCTTCTATCTTCATGAAGTTACTTGATTTTCTTTTATTTCACTCTTGGGTTCTTACTTTTTGAATTTACAATACAGAACTCTGCTCAGACATTGCTGCAATACTAAGGCAGTGCCCAGCTTCTCTTGTCCCTTGTCCTTCATACAAGGAGGAATGGAGTGCTGTGTGGCTCACACTTCAAAAAATATTTAAAGATGCAGTAGATTGTTGTGATTTGTGGAAGGATGAAAGCAAGAGTCAAAAGAAGAGACGGGCTTTTTCTTGCCTTCTAAATCTTTTAAAAAGCAGCGGGTTGTCAAGGGACATTTTTATAGAGGTATGAACATTGGATTTTAGCTCTTGTTCTTCAGAGCATATTCTTCATATATCCATATATAACTGTGATCAACTGAGCCACTAGAAATAACCATTGTGCCGTTATAAAAAATAAACTTAATATATAAGTGTTGCCAGCACCTTAAATTAGTTTCAACGGTATATATTCTATAGGCAGGTGAGCGATACAATCACATGTAAACTAACTTTTGCTCTTCTATTGAATGGCATCTGATAGGACGAAGTTAAATCTTGGTGGTTTGTTCATCCGTCATATGATGTTCAGCATGTGCTGCTGACACAAAGTCGACTGCCCAGTGGAGATTCTGATGCTGTTCTTGATTTGACTAGTCAAAATCTTGTTACTGAATGGAAGACAACGAACGAATACTACTTCAGTAGCGTAGCATCTGTGCTTTTTACTCACAAACAGGTGAGAATGGCTAGATTTCAGAAGCAAGAACCTTGACAACTAGATCTTGTCATTTTGGTTTGACCACTGAGTATTTATGTTAATTTATATGCGTTACAGAATGGAAGCCAAGATCCTTTTCTTCACCAGCTCGTTGAAATACAAAAAAATCAGCAGGAAGCTGCCAACAAATTTGCAGAGCAAATGCGGGACTTGAAGGAATGGATTTCTACTCTGGAGAAGTTATATTCAGATTCCACTGGTTTTGATGATGGAAGCGGTAGCAAGATATCTATTGGTCAAAATCAACGGGCCACCTTCAAATGCATGTGGCAGCAAAAGGTAATTTGTAACTGTGGAATTCTACTTTTCATTTGAACGATCGTTGATTTTTGTCTTAATTTAAGATGCTAAGGATTTTTGTTTTGTCGCAGCAATTATTTGATAGTTTGTGTGCCACATCACATGATGAGTTGTTGTTGCTGAAGACATTCCAGAATACCCATTTAAACAATTGTCAAACTGTCAAGAATGAAGTAAATGAGTTTCTTACTTCTATTGAGAAATTTATTCCAGTTCTGCAGAAATCTAAGGTCTCTGTTTCTTGTTCCTTGTGTGTTCTACATTTCTATCATGCATTAGATAGCTCCTCACACTCACACTACATTTTTGCTCAACTTTGTAACAGGAATCTTTGGACAATTGCCTTCTTGGCCCTGAGAGAGCTATAATGACGTTTTCTGGCTCCTCGCAATTCTTTCTTGTTTCAAAGCATATGGAACAATTGGTGTTCCAAAACTTCAAGGTTATCAAGGCTTTTGAGGATCATCTTCTTGCTTTCCATGGGAAAGATGCAGATAGAAGCTCGGTGAAAGATATTTTGCTTGGTCATTTTGTAGACATAATTAAGAAGGTATCCCTGGCTTTTTAATTCTTTTTTGGTGCTCGAGTGTTCTTTTCTTCTTTTGGTTGCAGTGTGACCCTTGTTAGCGGTAAACTAGATATGGCAAATGATTCTTAGCTGTATAATTATAACTTTGTAAGGAATATGGAGTTTTATGTTTTTGCATTTTTCAGGGGAGGTTGATGGAAAGGGAGTTCAATTCAGTGATAATAAATGAGAAAAATGTTTCAGTTGGTACACATGATGATGACGGCGGTGAACTCAATTTTGCATTTTGGAAAGCTCTAAGAGCTACATTTGAACATATCATTGGTGCGATGCAAACATTAGGTTCGCCAAGTAATAGCCATGTTCATCCAGATAAATTGGGTCATATTATGTCTTGGAAAAAGATATTTGACTCATCAGTGAAAATTTTGAGTTTGGACAATTTGTGTGATAAGCTCCGGACAACAATCCTTTGTGCTGTGAGTTTTGTTTTTATTTTTATTTTTTAAGAATTATTGTATCCATGTGGTTTTGTTTTGTCACTTGTGTATGCATACCCATTAAATTATATAATGTCCTGTTCTCAGGAAAAACTGGTGAATCATTGTGGTGGACGTTCTCCGAATGCTTTGCTCCAAATCGAAGTGCAGTTTGAGCATCTACATTTCTGTTTGGACATATTGTGGAAGTTTGGTCATGCTCTGTTGAAAGAACTTTTAGCTATGTGCAAAACTGTAAGTGGTCTAGTCCGCATCTCAATCACACATATATTCAAATTTGCTGTTTCTCATACCCCTTTCTTTGGGCCGGTGGGGCAGGAAGTGGGAATGTGGAACTAAAGCTTCATTCAATTACTCCCATTCCTGTCAAACCTTATTTCTATTATCCGAAAATGGTTCAAAAATTGTCTGGCGATTCTAATGTGTTTTTTTTTTTTTTTGGATCTCTCCATGTCTGAATTTTTTCTGTGATCTTTCTTTCTGCGCTGAGATTTAACATGGTGGTGGTAATCTTACTCTCATTTCTCAAGTGAGCTGTTCCTTGCTTTGCAACTGGTTCTGCTACCTACCCAAACCGAAATAACTCATTCTGCCTTCCTGCCTTAACACAGCCATTAAGCCTTAACTTTTACAGACAATTTGCACTAATAAAAACACTTGCATGGTATTATATATAACATACAATATGGAAATTATAGGCCCTGACATCTGTTATGTATGTTATATTGAACGGAAGTTACATTCACATGATTATGTATTGGAAACTATATTATATTTGTCATGATTATTGAATTTTTTATTTTGAGGAGATTGATATTTATATTAATGTGCAGGTATCTTTAACCATTCACATGCTTGCAAATGTTTTGGCTTTATATTCAAAGGGATCTGGGGTCTCTTCTGAAGACCAGGAGGAGGATGTTACTGGTAATACATCTCAAGATAAAACTGGAACGGGTATGGGGGAGGGTGTAGGACTGAATGACTGTCAGTGATCAGATCACTGATGAAGATCAACTTCTTGGAACTGATAAGGTATTGATTTGAGCACATTGAGTTTTTAAACCAGTTTATTATTGTAGGTTTATCGTTTGGCACATCATGACAAGATGTTATTAAATTTTTCTATGCATGCATGTGCAGGCCAGCGAAGAACAAGATGCTGCAGGTGAAGTCCCAAGTAAAAATGATAAGGGGATAGAGTTTGAGGAGGATTTTCAAGCTGATGCATTTAGTGTCAGTGAGGACTCTGAAGAAGACGCAAATGAAGATGATGAAGATCAGCAGTTAGAGTCTAAAATGGGAGAAACTGGAGCTAATGGTGAAACTGTTGATGAAAAACTATTTGATAAGGATGAGGATGAAAATCTCGATAATACTAATGAGAAGTATGAATCTGGAAATTCAGTTAGAGATAAAGATCCAAGTTCTAGAGAGCTTAGAGCCAAGGAAGACTCTGCTGCCACGGCCGACGAACCTGGAGATCTTGATTTAAATAAACTGGATGAAGAAAATGGTGAGACTGGAAGCCAGGATGATCTAAATGATGGAGAGAATGCGGATGATATGAACTTAGACAAACAAGAAGCAGTTGTAGATCCTACAGGATTAGAGCCCGAGGAGTTGAATCAAAATTCTGATGAAACTGAACCTATGGAGGTTGATTCTGAAATGCATGATGAGAATGCGGAGAATGAGAACCATGAAGAAGAACAAGCAATCTCAACTGATGAAATCATGGGAGAGGCAGAGACCGAACAAACGGATGCAACTCCTGAAAATGAGGATCATGAAGATAATACTGAGATGAATTCAGAATTAAGCAAGGATGAGTTAGAACTGGGAGTACCTGATTCACAGAGGGATATGCCCAACACAGAATCTTCAACACAACCAAATGGTAACATGAAAGCATCAGATCCAGGAGATGTAGCACCAGAGTTGAATTGGGCAAATAGCAATGATATTCATACTGAGCTTACTCCTGTGAGTGGTTTACCTTCTAGAAATACTTCAGAGCTGGATATGATGGTTTCTGAGGCGTCAAATAATGGGACAAATGTTGGTGAGCAACCAAAATGTCAACTTCCTAGGCAAGAATCTTCATCGGATAAAAAAACTGAGCCAAACCCTTTCCGTAGTGTCGGGGATGCACTCAAGGACTGGGAGAAAAAAGTTAGAGTATCTGTCGATCTCCAGGAAAACAACATGGAGGTACAGGATGAAATTGGGAACGAAATTGAGAATGAAAATGCAGATGAGTTTGGATACGTTTCTGAGTATGAAAAGGGGACAGCTCAGGCTTTCGGACCTGCAACATTTGAGCAGATTGACAAAAATGTAGATGGTAATAAGTCCAACGCCGATGAAGATGATCCTTCAACGCATAAAGATGGCCCTGTTGAGATGGAAATTGAGAAGCAAAAAGTAGAACCACAGCCTAACCGGAGTCGTACTCAAGTGCTAAAGGATAAGACCGAGGACCAGATGCGTCTCTCTGGTGCAGAAGAATTGTCTGGTGATCAATCTCAAGAAATTCATAGCCATCGTGACGGTCAAAGCATGGTAGAGGACGTGGTCTCTGTCAAGAAATCCTACTTTAGTGACATAAAGCAGCTCAGTGAACTTTCCGTAAATGATGGTGACATGGGAAAGCTCAAGATCCTGAGGAAATTTCTGATGATGTTATGGGCAATGCTACTGCTGTTTGGAGAAGATGTGAGCAGACCACGACAAGATTGTCACAGGAGTTGGCGGAACAATTGCGTCTTGTCATGGAGCCTAATCTTGCCAGCAAGCTCCAAGGGGATTATAAGACTGGCAAGCGGATTAACATGAAGAAGGTTAGACACAAGATAACTCAGCCAGTGTCCAACTTCAGTTTTTCTAAAATATAGTTTAATAAGTTTTTCTTTGTGGTGTAAACTTTATTAGGTGATTCCATACATAGCCAGTCATTATCGGAAAGATAAAATATGGCTGAGACGGACCCGGCCTAACAAACGTGATTATCAAGTTGTCATTGCTGTTGATGATTCCCTTAGTATGTCTGAAAGTGGCTGTGGTGATGCTGCTATCGAAGCTCTGGTGACAGTATGTCGTGCAATGTCCCAACTAGAGATGGGGAGCCTTGCTGTTGCAAGCTTTGGAAAGAAAGGTAACATAAGGGTGCTGCATGACTTCGATCAGCCTTTTACTGGAGAAACCGGAATCAAGGTGAGTGCCCCTTAATGCCAGTATTATCTTGAACTGAAATACATAGCAACATAGAGGTTATTTACGTATTTTGCTAGGGCAGTAAATTGTTGCATGAAGCCCTTTCTTTTCATATTTCTGTTCAGTAATGTTAGGGCCCATGGTATATGGCATGTAATGTGTTTTACTGATATTGTTGTGCAGATGATCTCGAGTTTGTCATTCAAGCAGGAGAATACTATTGCTGATCAACCAGTTGTTGATGTGTTGAAGTATCTGAACACCAAGCTCGATGAAGCGGTTGCAAGAGCACGCCTCCCCTCAGGATGGAATCCACTACAACAGCTCATTTTGATAATCGGAGATGGCCGGTTCCACGAGAGGGTAATATTTTTTTTTTTTCTTCTCCTTTTCCAAGTGGCCAACGAGCCGTTATTGCTGCTTGTCTACGGTTTCATTTTTTCTTAAACAAAATCAACTTTGCAGGAGAACTTGAGGCGGTGTGTTAGGGATGCTTTGGCTAAGAAGCGTATGGTTGCATATTTGGTTCTTGATAACTCACCAGATGGTTCCATTATGGACCACAAGGTAATTATTTGTACTTTTTTCTTAATATATGGTGTCTGTTTTCTTCTCTGTTCTTTTATTACGTCGTGAGTGGATCTCTAATTCCAGAATGCCTTTCTGCAATTCTTCCTTTAGGAATATTCTTTTGAGGGTGGGTGCAAACTGGTAAATTACATGGACTTTTTCCCATTCCCATTCTACATTGTACTGAGGAACATTGAAGCACTTCCTAGGACTCTTGCTGATTTGCTGAGACAGGTAAGCATAATAGTTCACAACGTTTTTCATGCCTAAGTGCTGCGATTTGGCCAGAAAACGCATTGCCTCTCCTTCTATGTATCTGAAATCTTGACTTGCTGTTTGCAGTGGGTTGAGCTTATGCAGTACACAAGGGACTAACCTAATCATTCGGTGTGAGCTGCAAAGATCGCGTTGAGTGGCGCAAAAGGTCATATTAACCCTTCATAGCAGGTTAACCAGGGAATGAGGATGATGCGTATTGTGTATAATGTAACTTGTATAGGAAACAATTAGAGTCATCATCAGTGAAGATGAACAAATTTTTAACTTTATTCACTTTTTTTTCTGGTGAGAAAGATCATTCTTAATTTGAGTAATGTTTTATTGGTGTTGTGTGGTAATTCTAAATGGCTTTCCATTGGACATGGACGATACAAATTAGAATTAGCCGTGGTTTTTGGTAATTACACAAGGATTTGGATCCTCTACGAGATAGGCTTGAACAGCTTCCACATACACCTTCGCTGCAAAAACCATCTCAACGATCCATGCTTTCATCCCAGAGTTCCGTCGCCAGTTCAGTACCCTTCTTATGCCAACCCATAGGTTTTGAGATACCCTCTATGGCAAGTAATCATTAAATCTCAATATATTCAGTTATGTTTACCCTGAGGCCATTAAAATTCTTCTCATTCGCGAGCACTTGGTGTTCTTGTCGAGAGATTTTAACATGTACCGATTGTTGCTGACATCAACAGCTAAGTAACGCATCTTGTCGAGGGATTACTGGTGCGTCTCTCTAAATATTTGACATAGTATCAGAGCCGGGTTGATGTGGGTCATGTGGCTCCGTACTGTGCCCGAGTTATCGGATTAATATTACACCATGCTTTTGCTCTTAATGTCTGATGTAGATTGGTTGGGTGAGTGGTCCAATATGTGGTGTTCTCACGTGAGGGGGCATGCTTCCATATTGAGGAATTGAGAAAATAAAATATAATATATAAGTGTATGGCTCTAAACCTAATAACACTGACATCTTTTGCGATAAAACTCAACACATAACAGTAAGTAATTAAGTTGAGATAAAATTGGTTTTGTTAAGGGGTGGACTAGTGGGCCATCTCTCTGAGTGAATAGGCATTTCATAATCCTTGGTGGGTCCAAAGGGTCTAGTACCAAACATTTTTAGGTCCTCGAAGAAATATTAAAAAAGTCTTTATATGCATTCGTCTTTAAGAGTTATCTCATTAGGATTTCATAAATAAACAAAATTCTCATTAGATTGAAGTAGACAATTAGAGCATTCAGGGTCCAACGCAATTCTCTGAAAGTGGTCTCAACAAAGTTCAAGGTCCAACGCAATGTATAAATTATGAGGAAAAGAAATAATACAAAAGATCAGCATCCATAAGCTATACCAGTTTCAATTCTTGGCAAAACGGGATAATGTGGCCCACCACACTGCGGGATCGCTTTCTTTCTCTAGATTGAAAGCTACGGTCTTGATCGACTGTGGAATCCCACCACACTCCCTAACTATTAACGTTGCTATTCTTTTGATTTCTTCATTCTTCATAACATCTTTATTGGAGTTCACTATTTTCCTGAACATCTTTAGGGCATCATCCTCACACATTCCCTCTATTTTGATATCCTCCTGTTTCCACGATTCATCGCGCTCACCGATCTCGTCGTCGTAGTAGCAACCACTGCGTCCAAGCACGACCCTTCCGTGTTGGCCTTTACGGATGCCAATCCTCACCAAATCAATCTCAGAAGAAACTTGATCAACAAACAACAAGTAGCTCTTGTTTTCCAGCTCTTTAGCTATAATTTCTGCTCTCTCATGGTTACTCATCAACTCATCCGCTTGTAACCCTAACTGCTTTTCGAGTATGTGTTGTATGTCTCCCACGCCTTTCTCCTCCGTCATGGTTACCCAAAAAATGACGTCAAACGGTTGAATAGTGTTAGTAAGTTCACAGAATCTGTCGTGCACGTTCTCCAGCACCGTTGTTTTTCCCACCCCGGAGGGTCCCCATATGCAAACCCTAGCGCACTTGTCACGACCGTCTTTTACAAGCAACTTTAGAAACAACACGTCAACATAGTTATTGAGAGATGGAAAATCATCTATCTTGAGTGCACCCCTCTTTATAAACCGATCGGGCAGTGCAGGCGCGCTCTGATTCCTTATCGTGTCGAGTTTGATCTGCTTTCGCAGGTTGGCGATCTTTTTTATTTTCATGCGAATCTTTAGATCAAGGCACCAAGAAGATTGAAGGAGTCCACATGATTGGCCTTGGTTGATCGTTCTAGTCTTCTCCCTCTCTTTATACCTTTTCTCCAAATTCTCAATTTTTTGTCTCTCTTCATCGACCTTGCGAAGCCAGTCCATGCACTCACTTAGCCATTCGATTCTGTAAGCGTTAGCGGCGAGCACCTTTTTGACATCGGTCTCTTCGTTTTCGAGACGCTTTCTTTCATGCTCGAGTTTCTCAAAACCTCCCTTGCCAAAAGCCATGGTATTGGAAATTTGGAATAAAAGAAAAAGGAGAATGTAGTTACAGATCAATGATTAACAGGGGAGTAATAGAGGTCTATTTGTACTACTCATGCTCACGGGCTGACCAATTTCTATTAGGAAACAATTGCCTTTCCTTTCCTAACGAGGGACGGTTTGATTTGCTTTCTTGTTATTGTTTGTTTTACCATCAAGTCTAGGTAAAATATATGCGAAAGCAACAAGAAAAGTAAGGAGTTCCAAATGTTACATTCCTAAAACACCGGGACAAATTAACTATAGAACAAGGATAGTAAGTACAATCCTAATTAAGATACAACTTGTAAACACAGAGAAATTCATTCTATATGATTTTCATTTGGACTCTAATTAAGATACAACTCGTCAACAGAGATAAATTCTTTCTTAGTGGTTTCTCCTTGGACTTGAAAATTGGATATGTAATCGCCACTAGCACTACAATTAGTGGTTGTACAACTTAGCCTGAAAATCATTTTTTTTTTTTTTTACTAAATAAAAATTTAGCCTGAATATCCTATTCCTTAGTGTGAATATATGATTGCACCAAATTGATTATATATTGTATTAACTTTTTTTTATTAATAAAACTTATTTAGTTTGATAAAAAATAAATTATTATATGTAGGTTTTTATCACAAATAATCTCTGAATTGACCCACCTCATCAAAATGGTTCCTGAAGTTTAAAGTCGATCAATGTAGTCCCTAAAAATGGGTGTCGCTAATCAATGTGGTCCAACCGTCATAGTCCTATCAAAATTCTGTTATATGCTGATGTGACACATGACGGCACCTCACAAGTCTAATTAAATATTTTCATGTAGATTAAAAAGATTTAAATAATAAAAAATAATTTTTGACATAATTGTGAGAGAAGAACCACATTGATTTGTGACATCCATTTTCACGGACTACATTGATCAATTATCAATTTTAGAGACCATCTTGATGGGATGGTTACCATTTGTGATAAAACTCCTTATATGTAATCACTTGTGGATGACATTGATGATAGGATTAAAAGCACACCACAAAGTAGCACACAAATGTCCTATTGATTTTCCTTATTAACATTAAGATTTGTTAATTGTAGCATATGAAAATAAGGGTCTTTCTTGTAGAAGATTGTTTTATCTAACTACTTAAAATGTCACAAAAATTGGGTTGCTGTCCCTACTGACCAGTCACCGAAAAATAATTATTAGACCGACTTACACTTATCTAAAGTCTACGAAATTTTATATGAAGACACTAGACACACAGAGCTACACTGACACAAACTTTTGGGATTTTTGGAGTTGATTTGGTATTTAAATTAAATCGAACAAAAATAGTACAGAGACATATTTTAAATAATAAAAATAGATTGTAGTTCACAAGTTAAGAAAACGAGCTAAGGGAAGTGTTATCCACCACCAAATAATCATGCAAACATATTATATTTCATTCAAATTCCTTTTATTTCCGGATCAAGATGCTCAAGTTGGCTCAATGTTAGAACTCAACGTATTACTCTTTCTTATGTAGTATGTTAAGAGAATGACGTTTTCAACTTAACTTAGTCCCTAGCATGCAATCTAGAATGACGTGTTCATAGATTTAATAAGTAGAAATCATTAAGAACGAAAAGAGTTTGAGTCATCACATGTGACATCCCACATCGCCCAGGGGAGTGATCCTTAAATGTATATTCCCATCCCTACCTAGCACGAGGCCTTTTGGGAGCTCACTAGCTTCGGGTTCCATGGGAACTCCGAAGTTAAGCGAGTAGCGCGCGAGAGCATTCCCAGGATGGGTGACCCATCGGGAAGTTCTCGTGTGAGTTCCCAGAAACAAAACTGTGAGGGCGTGGTCGGGGCCCAAAGCGGACAATATCGTGCTACGGTGGTGGAGTGGGCCCGGGAAGTGGTCCCACCCGGGCCGGGATGTGACATCACAAGGCATCGTAAGTACTGGCGTTGTCTTACTTATCCTAGTAATTGGTTCACATGTTAATCGCAATTAACAAATATTACTCTAGAACATATGTAGGTCCTCATTTGACAAGGGCAGGCACACACATATTCATAGTATTAGAATCCTAGATATGCTTACTCAGTATGCATCCATAGAAAACACATAAAGAGTTCATCAATGAGACAAGTAATGAACCAATTTTCATCAATTCATAAAAGTAATTCAAACGAAATGTCATAATAAACTTGCAATCATATTTGGGGCTTTAAAACATCCCCTAACTACTAAAAATTTTGTTACACAATCCTTAAGTTAAAACAAAAGAAAGACATGAGTTTGAGAAAATAGAACCAAAGGAAATTGACTGAGGCCTCCTCTTTCCTTCCTTCCCCAACACTACTTTTAAACCAATTCTTGTTGCATCATTTTCTTCTCCTTAACTCACCCACTAATAGCCATTCTTGCTGCATCATTTCTTCTCCTTAATGATGCGAGTTTTATGCGCACACAAATTAAACCCTCTTTTTGTCAATTGTAGTGAAGTGTATAAGTAGGGATCGTTCTGGACCGGGGATTAGGAGGGATTGTTAATCACTTGGATTTTGACTCAAAAACGTAAAAACAAGTTTAAAACACTAATTGATGCGAAGAATACAAAACTAAAAGTAAGAAAGACTAAGACTTAAACAAAATAAAGGGGGATTGGATTTGGACAAAAATTGAAATAACGAAACAAGTAAATAAACTAGATAGAATGTAAATATGAAATTGATGAAATGGAATGAATGGATGCTAGCCAAGGGGTTCATCTCCACACATGTTACACTTGCATAATAAAAAGATTTCTAATTGTATTTCAATAAACCATGAATTCTCAACGCCCCGGGTTAATTAGGTC